GTTTCAGATTTCCAAGTTGTTTGGATCCTGGAATATTTACACAGGCTTCAATAGCTGAGTATCCCTTGCTCAAAAACATCAACTGTGAACTCCTCCAAATTCTGTTGCAATACTCAAAGAGTTTCAGATTTGGGGTATTTGGATTAAGGATGCTTGACATACATGTAAGAAATATTAGTTACTCTTCAGTTTGTAGATGAAACTATAATTCAAAAAATACACCTAAATACAAAATCTGGGGGGCCAGGGAGATAGCTCAGTAGGATAAGTGCTTGCCTGGCAAGCGCAAGAGCCTGAGTTCAATACCCAGTTCCAAAAATAAATAAATACAAAATCTACCAATACCTACTCTACATTTTGCAGTGCTTCTACCAACTGCGTCTTCTGATCTGGTGCCATACGAGCAAACACCGTTCCATGCAACATCAACTGGAAAAAAAACATTGATTTCTTTAAAATAGTATCTGTAATACACTCATGTGAACACATCCATGAACTCATTCTCACTTACCTTAGGAACCAGATCTTGAAAATGCTCTAGAATCACAGAAAATGATTTTCCATTCATGGCAAAATGGTAACGAGCCAGTTGCAGGTCCTCTAAGCTGTCATGAGCCAGCTTCATTGGAATCACCTGTGGATGAAGACACTGGCACTGTAATTAGGCAGCCACACAATCTATATTAAATGTACTTGTTCCAAGATGAACTATTTCTTTTAATATTTTACTCAAGATGCTAAGAATTGAACATCTATTCAAAATGAAAACTATCCTTCTTCCCCCCCCCAACCCCACCCCCGTACCAGGGATCAAACTCATGACCTTACCAGGCAAATGCTTATGCCTCTAAATTATCTTCTCAGCCTTTTTATTTTTTTTAATTTGTTTTTTTTTTTGGCCAGTTCAGCCCAACCTGAGGGTAGGGCTGGTGTGGCATGTGGTGCTAGGGATCGAACCTTGATCTCCTATGCCTGCCTAACCAGATGCTTTAGATCACTGAGCTACCTCGCTGGCCCTATTTTTATTTTTGTTTTTTAAGACAGGGTCTCATGTCAGTTCAGGCTGACCTTGAATTCATTGCAATCCTCTCTTCTCCACCTCCTAAGTACTGAGGAAACTCTATTTTTAAAAGTACCTATAATGCACACCTTTCTAAAAAAAAAAAAAAAGCCTGTTTATTAAAAAAAAACAAACAAAAAAAATCTTAGGATTAAATGTCATCTTTATTGTAAACACAATGGTACCTTGCTTGGTTCATGAACTCACATCTCTCCAAGACTCTGGTTGCTAACAGAACTGAACAAGAACCAAATCATCCAGAAAGAATGGCTATCATCAAGAAGTCAACCAATAACAAATGCTAAACAGGCTGTAGGGAAAAAGGAACCCTTCACCACTGTTAGAGTGTAGACGTTGTGGAAATCAGTGTGGAGATTCCTCAAAAAACTAGGATTAGAGGTCCCATTCAACCCAGCTATTCCCTCCCCTCTGGATATTTTACCAGAAAAACTGAAAACATTATACCACAGAGACAGATGTGGACTCATGTTTATAGCAGCACAATTTGTCATAGTTAAATCTTAGAAACAACCCACGTACCCATCAACTGAGGAATGGGTAAAAAAGATGTGGTATTTTTACACAATGGATTATTACTCAACTATACAAAAGATAAACATCCATAAAAGATGCAACTAGAGATCATACTCAAAAGTAAAATAAAACAGACCCATGTGTGTAAACATCATATTGTCTCACTAGTGTAAGAGCCTTAAAGAATAAAATAAAATATGAAAGGTACAATAAAAAAAAAGGACAATGAGATTTAGCCATAAGGTGAACACTGAACCTAACCACTGACTGATTCAGCCTGCAACCAGAATCATGGAAAGCCCCAAGTTCATGAGCTGAGGCACCGCACTGTGTGGGAGCTTAAGAACAACCTGCATCATTTATTACTAATTACTTAAAAATAAGATATTTACTAGGTTTTATCACTTTTAATTATTCTAGAATAAATTCAAATAAGCAAGCCTCAAAACAAAGTTAAATCTTGGTCTTACCTCTGAGTTGATTGCTGATAAATTACTGCTCTGGGTTAGGGAGTCTGCATAATGCCAATTTATCTTGGCAACTTTTCCATCCTTCGGAGGCAATGCTTCAGCAATAATAATTTTATCCTGAGGTAGAATCATTCCACAGTCTCTGGCCACAGAAACAGCAGTCAACATATTGTCACCTGATTTTCAAAATATTAAAATTTAAAGAAAAATGTAACGGTATGAAACAGTATTTACTAAGCATCTACAGCAGTCCCTGTGGCAAGCTAGAGAGATTAGTAATAATGTATGCTTTTGATCCTGGCCAGTCTTAAACTGACCACATCGGTCAGAGTACACTGACTAAACAACATCTCCTATGGAACAAGTACCCATGTGATAGGTAATCAGAACACTCTTAAGGTGCTAGAGACAGAATGGGGACCTTGAGCATGGAAGGCAGGCACCATGCCCCAGCACTGACTCACAAGTCATCAATATAAATATGATCTTCAGTCATCAAATGGCCTAGTGTGACACACAGAGCAGATGCTAAATCAATATTTGCGGAAATCATGGGGGGGGGGGGGTGTTGTCCTGAATAGAAGCACTGGTGTAGTAACAGAGAAGTCTGAATTACAAAACATCACACAAAACAAAATGTTGGAAGACACGATCAGAATGGATGTACTGCAAAGAGGCAACTTCTTGGTGATGAGAAAAACAAGCTGCAGAGATACAAGGACAAAAGCAGTCAGTGGGCAGGGGTTAGGGACCCTCACCACTACCATAACTGAGGGCAACTCCCACACACTACTTCCACAAGTGCTTTCCTTCAGCCACTGGGATACAATGCCATATTCTGCCATAGCAGAAAAGGAGAAGGGCAAGGAGACATCGATGGAAAGTGCCTTGGAGGAGTCGACATTGCAGGAGTGCTACTAGATAAACTATACAGTAAAAATATTAGATTTCCTGAATCTAAGACATAAAGTATAACACATATGCTTTTTCCACATAAGTCTTACTAACCACACCAATGCCAAAAAGTAACTTGAATCCAATTATTTGCTACAAAGAGCTACCACAATCTCACACAGCCAAGGAATTATCTAGTATTATCAACTCTAAGAACATCAAGAGAATCATTTGCTGTGGCAGCAAGATAAAAAACAGGCCCCACATTACTTACATTTCATTATCTGTTAGAAATACTATTAATCATTTTCCATGTACCTGGTAGTTTCCAAAACACTCCAAAATGTTTAATCCATGCTCCTAATCCTCAACTGATTTTATATTCTAGTATAGAAAACAAAACTACAAACAAGTTAATACAAGTTAAGTACTTTGAGGTTAGAGACAGATAACAAAGAAGAACAGAATTTAAATTTTTACAGTATTCCCTATTTTTCATGCTTCCTATGAACAGAATGTGCTAGATCTCACTATTGCCTGGTTACCTTGGACCCCAGGAAAGCATTCAGAGCTGAAAAGGGGCAGTATGAGATGGAGCCGCTGTGTAAAAGCTTTTAAAACTGACATTGTTTCTCAATAATATACAACTTGAACTCGAGTCATACTCATTCTTTTCCTGTGTTGTTTCACAATATCTAACCTGTGACCATGACAGTGCGAATGTTGGCTTTATGCAAATCTTCAAGTACTGCAGGGGTTTCTTGCTTTAATTTGTTCTGCATTATAATTAATCCCATAAAATCCATGTTGTTTTCAATGGCATCTCTGTAGAAAAAGAAGTTTTAACACATAATGATTTAGTCAAGAACAGTGTTGTTCTCTTTATGTTGACAATTAAGTACCTACATATTATGAAGTAACATGTTTTATATGCTGAATAAACCATATATTTATAAGCTGAATACCTGAAACATTTTTATCTGAACAAATCCCAAAAGATACTTTTTATACACTGAAATAAAATGTTATCCTTGGAAACATGTAATACAAGGATCATTTGAAAATGTTTATCTTTTAAAATACTAAATCCTAATACTAACACTGATCTTATATCCAACCCCAAAATGCATAAGCATAACATTATACTGTCCCTCATAAAATATATTCTAATTTATTTATGGGGAGAGGATGGCAAGAATCAAACTCAGGACCTTGAGCTTCCCAGGCAGGCTCATTCACTAGTCCAACACACACCTTAATTTAAATGTTAAGAGAAATGAGGGAAAATCTGAGCCACAAGCACAGCTGCTAAAATTATAGCAGATTCATTGTCAAGTATTCACTAACTCTATAAACAATTTTTTGTTTTATTCCTGTTTCTTGAATAAGATAGGATCTTGCTATGTTGCCCAGGCTAGCCTCAAACTTCCTCCAATCCTCGTGCCTCAGCCTCCTGGGAGTACCGGAATTACAAGAGTGTGCCACAATGACCAATTTATAAACAACTTTTTTTTTTAACGCATTTGGTACAGGGTCTACAGGGTCTCACTACCTAGATCGGACTCGTAGTGATTCTCCTATTCTGAACCTCCCAAACTGGCATTACAGGTGTATGCCACCACGCCCAGTCTCATTCACAGTTTCAGCATGGGGGGGGGGGGCGCGCGCCAGGGGGCAGGGCTAGCACGGCAAGTTGGGGATCAAACCCCCAGCCCCTGTATTTGCCTAAGCAGGTGCTTTAATCCACTGAGCTATCTGGCCAGCCCTTATAAACAATTCTTGATCCCTGATACTTGACACAAAAACTATTACTATAGTAGTGCACACAGTGAGAACTATTCAGGACCCAGGAAAGCATCTCTGAGAACACTGATAATAGAGTCATCCAGGTGGTATTCTTCAAATAGTCAGGTCTACTATGCATTAGCACTGTTCTAACTGCTAGAAGGTCGAAGATGAAAAGGCACACCACTCTCCTTTCAAGAGGGGGAAGTAAGATGCAGCCAAAGAGATACTGTGCATGCAAAAATAAGATATACTTCAACAATATAATGGAGATGAATTGTTTCATACAGTCACATTCTTATGAAATCTTAAGCTACCAAAACTATATAGTAGAAACTTGTTTTTGCAATGGAGAAAAAGGGATTTGATGTTAGTGACTAGACTTTCATTTTCACAATAATCAAGTGGTTTCTCTACACAAGAATTAATAAAGATACTTGATTATACACCTATCAAACCTAAATATCTTGGCAAATATAATGTGTAATAATGGGGTACGTAGGTAATAAAGATATTAAATAACAGGAAAATTTAAAATAATTTATACTGCTGGTGTTAATGGAAGAAGAAAAAAGAAGTCTGAAACAGTCTAAGAGAACAATGTTCAAGATATAAAGGTTTAAGCTCTTAAGAAAAATGTTAAAATCTATCCCTACAAAGCACAACTGCAATGGGCTACTGGTCTCTTTTAGAATATTTTGCTGAGTTTACACACCTATAATATTCAATAACAGAACTTAAAAAAAATGGGGTATAACTATGAATGTCCATTTTGTATCTGTGTATTCAAAGTGGTTGGGATAGATATATAGTTGCATTCTCTTAATGAATAGAATGATTTTTTCTAATGGTGTTTGTAAGTAGGATCACAAGTCTGCATCTTGTACAGCAATTAACCACTAAGAAGAATATATGCAGTGTATTATTTGTTGAAACTGTACTTTCGATTTGATTTGAAACTGTCTCATTGCTATATGTTTATCAATAAAACTTTGAAAAGAAAAAACAAAAAAAACAAGCAAAAAAAAAAAAAAACCACAACCGCAACATGGAGGTCTTGGTGGCTTAAGGACAAGGAAAAAATGAAATTAGAAAAAGTAGATTAGCAGGAACAGGGTGTTCTGGCCAAACAAAGAGCCTAACCAAGGGCACAGGAGGCATCTGCTAAGCTCAAGAACCACAGGCAAGCCAACTCTCTTTAAGGGGGAAATGGCAAAAGGCAAAGCTTTGTATGAAAAGTGAAGAATGCAATGCAACCTTTGGAGGTATCGCGATACCTTACACACATGCAGCTCCCACCCATGCATATACCACAGATCGCAGGGAAAGGTTTTACATTTGTTTTTTTCTGCAACCCTTAGCTAGAAACCAACGGATATTCTTTTCTGCTTACAAACTGCAGAATATTTCATAGCACGCCTCCAAAGGGTAAACATCAATCTTTTAGAACAAAAATAATAATCCTTAAATGAGAAACCTACACTTATGGAAAGAAATGTGATATCCACATGCTAACTGAGCAGAGATTAAGAGAAATGGGATGTCAGGAAGAGGAGTGACCACCACACTGACCAAAATCAGTGCTTGGATCCAACCCCTGGGCAAAGGAAAGATAATTTGAGGAAAATAATCTTCTGAACTGTTTACCATTTCTCCAACATACATGACACATGTAAGCATTTGAGTAATATTTGACAAAAACATTGCAAGTAGTTCCAAAAAATTGTAAGAGTAAACAGAATTTTTCAATACGCAAACATATGCAAAAAGTCAATATAAAACGACAAGAAACTGGATAATGGAAACAAATGAACGTAATTTTAGCTCAAACACCTAACACAGTATCATATTATATACAGATAGATTCAATAAATATTTCATAACCAAATGACAGGCACAGCACCATGAATGTCAGACATAAACACGAACAGTACACCACTGGAGAAGATAGAGGAGCGGGATGACCTTACCTGCTAATGTTCTGTACTTTATGCCATGTCAGTTTGGACTCCAATTTTCTGTGTGCAAGAGCAATCACGCGGAAACCCTGTGTAGTATAATCTTCTAATACTTTCTCAAAATCAATAGGCACTAAAAGAAAAAAAGCCAACTCACTGTTAGAACTGCTAACAGCAGCAAACACCATCCTCACCACAGGCTGACCCTTCCTCACCTGTCTCAGGTCTGCAGAGGCCGGCAACAACCTCTGGGGCCCCTTTCATGTAGGCATCCATCTTCTTTTCTGTGAGCACCTTGGCAACCACACTCATGCGTTGCAAAGCTGAAGCAAATGGGAACTGGCGAACAATTCCTATCTCATAAATAGCCTGCACAATTTCAAAATATGTACAAAGCATGTGTTATTCTTCAAGAATACAAATGAATGTACTTAGGTGACAAGAAAACATTCTTCACTCACTGGAAGTTCAAACAGCTCCTATAAACAAAAGAAAGCATATATTAAGTTCATCACTATATTCAAGTTGGAAATAACATAAGCATCTACACAGCATTACTTGAAAAATAGCAAAGACCTTTATCATTTCACAGTTAAGATTCAAGATTCCTTCTCTACTACCTCTCATAAAAGTATGGGGATCTTATTTTGAAAACTCATCTAAAAGCAAAGCTCTCCTTATTTAAGATTTCTTTTACTTATTTTTATTCGGTTGTAGGAATATCCAATTTGAATGACTATCATATATTTAAGTCACTAGGCATTAAAGCTGCTGGGTAAACTACAAATCTCAACCTTAAAAAATTCCCTGTCCCATACCAGAGGTACATACAGTTTCAGAGAAACAGCTGAAATAGCCCTGTTTGCATAAGGTTAAATAAAAGACATTTGACTCTTTCTAGCAACATTTTGAAATAAGAGCTAAATGTAGGATAAGATCAACAGCATCGCCCAGCATTCCCTGGTGCATACCATTTCTTCATTTTCTGCAGGTAGGGATTCAGGAAGTAGCTGCTTGGGAGGCCGAACCACAGTGGGCATAATCCGATTATGAAGTGCTGTTTCTTCTTCAGTTGCTTCTTCCAGAATCTGAAAGAAAAAACATTCAACACCCTGCTTCACAAAATTCAATTATTGGTACAAGGGACCATAATGGCCATTTTCAGTAAATTTGTTAGAAAGTGCTGTCTAATGAACAAATCAGTACTACTAGATGACTATGGTACACAGAGCTAGCTAGTTAGATACCTCACAACCCATGTAAATGCTGAAACAGCTAAGAAACATTAAAATACAGAAATAAACATCTATCATTCTGTTGTCACAACTTAATGGGATTAGAGGCTGACTTTGTGAAAAACAAATGGTTCTTGAAGCTCCAAGAATTTTGTCTATCACTGGGTAATAGCTCAGTGGCACAGAGCCTGCCTAGCAAGAGCAAGGTCCTAAGTTCAATTCTGCATAAAAAGAAAAAAAAAAAATTATTGTTTTAGCGAGGTGTGGTGGTACATGCCTGTAACTCCAGCACTCTGGAGCCTGAGGCAAGAGGATCCTTGTGTTTGATCCCCAGGCATGCCATGCAGGCCTGCTCTCAGGGCGCAGAGACATGATGGTGGCAGGCACCTATAATCCCAGCCCTTGAGAGGCTGAAAACAGGAGGACCACTATGAGTTCAATCTGTGTAGTGAGACCCTGTACTAAATACAGAAAGACCGAAAGACCAAAAGACAGACAGACAGACAGACAGACAGACAGACAGACAGACAGACAGATCCTTGTAAATTCAAGACCAGCCTGGGCTACAAAGTTGGCTCAAGGCCAACCTAAACTGCATAGCAAAACCCTGTCTCAAAAAGACAAAAAAAAAAAAAAAAAGACTTTTGTTGGGTCACCTTTCTACCATAAACGATTCCACCTTAAGGGCTGGGGATATAGCTCAGTAGAATAAGCGCTCGCTTGGCAAGCACAAGAGTCTGAGTTCAATCCCCGGTTCCACCAAAAAAAAAAAAAAAAAGATTCCACCTTAGTACAACCACTAGGCCAAGAATAGGACAAGGGTCAGGCTTGATAAAGCACACCTATAATCCCAGGACTCTAGAAGCCTGAGGCAGGAGGACTACAAGTTCGAATTCCACATGGAAAACTCAGTTAAAAAAACAAACAAACAAACAAAAAAACACTCAGTAAGACCCCATCTCAAAAAAATAAGAAGTAAAACAAAAAAATGCAACCCTAAGCTCAGGATATAGCTCAATGTGAAGGTCACAAACTGAGTCCCTAATACTGCACCAGAAAACAGGCAAGGAGACAGGTTAAGATATAAAGACTGAGTTCAGTATTTCAACCTTAAATACTCCTAGTAAAGCTACTACTACACCTGAACCCCCTGAAACTTACTTTAATAATGATGAGAAGGGTGAAACGATTCTAGAAGGCAGGGGTATAGCTCAATGGTAAGACTGCATAGCTAATAGTTATGAGGCCCTAGGTTCAATTGCGGGAAAAGGGTTTTTTTTTTTAATTTTTAAAACAAATTCCTATATTACATACATACATAAGAGGAACAATATGGGCCGGCAAGATAGCTCAGTGGACTAAAGTGCCTACTCAGAGCAGAGACCGAGGTTCAATCCTGGCACCACATGCCAAGCCAGCCCCACCTCCAGGGCAGGGTGAGCAGGCAAGAATCCGAGCATAGTGGCGCATGCCAGTAATTCCAGCTCTGGGGAAGCTGAAAGCAGGAGGATCACCATAAGCCTGAGCTGTGTAGTGACACCCTGCAACAACCAAAAACATAAAAAGGCCAGCCTGACAGCTCAGCGGACTAAAGTGCCTGCTTAGGCACAGCGCAGTGGCCAGGGGTGCCCACCCTTGGGGAACACTGAGACAGTGCCCGAGACTAGGCGTGGTGGTACACGCCTATAATCCCAGCACTTGGGAAGCTGAAAACAGAAGAATCACTGAGTCCCACCTATGTAGATCCTGTCCTAAGTACAGAAATATAGAAATAAAAATAAAAATAGAAACAAAAAGAAAAAAGGAGGAACAATAAACTAATCTCTGTGACTGGAGGATTCAAACAATAAAAATAAAGAAGAAAACTGTGCCCCATTAGCCAATTTCATAAATTCTCTGACACCTCCACCCCACACACACATTTTAACATCTGTGAACCTAGAATGCACCATCATTCCATATTACCCGATCACATCAAGCAGTCAAGCTTGGCTCTGTGAACCTATTCTACTCCAAGGACAGGCCCGATGTGCAACCCCCAAAGCACCTCATGGCCCACGAAATGCAAACTTCCTTATATAACATTAAACACTACACTCTGTTATCTACAGTGTCATCTATGATGAGGATCTATTCCACTGGAAAAAGCTTAGCAGCTTCAGAGAAAGCCCAATTTTGCTTCTCTTTCTATAAAAGAAGCAGGGCTTCAAGAACCAAATTTCAGTACCATAAACTCATGAACTATGAGCCTATAGAAGATGGCGGAGTATTTTGCTAGTCATCCACTCCTTCCTTTTTAAAAGCCTAACAAAATACGAAGAAAGTAAACAGAAAGTCAAGGAGGGACAGGTCCACTTTTAAACATGTAAACACAAGGCAAACTGGACATTGCTAACTGACAGCCCAGAAGGCAGGAATGGGGTGAACACACAGGGGAGGTCCCAGAGGGGTGAGAACCCAACGAAGGCACACAGCTGGCTGGGCTGAGCTGAATGCACCAGCGAGGCAGGCAGTTAAGTGCTTCTCCAGACAGGCCCTCCTAGGAGGAGCAAGGGCTACCAGAGCAAAACCTCTGGGTAAGCAAATGTGGCAAGAGTGGGAATGCAGCCGGCCTGGGAGGAGACTCGTGACACACAGAACCCTTGGGCAACCTCACCACTGCCTCTCACAATGACCCAATCGCAGTTTTTCTCGAGTGAGAAAGTACTGTCCAGATATGTAAAGAAAACACACAGCATGAAACAGAGAGTACGAATCAAAGAAAAAACCAACCAAACAAATAACTGCTGCTAGAAAAAACAAAAGCAATGAACATATCTATGTAAGAAACGAGCCACCCATTACCAAATTGCCTCTAAGTCCAGAACTGTGGAGGTGACGGCAGGCGGGCCACAAGCTTGAGGCCAGCCAAGACTACATAATAAAACTGAGTTTCAAAACAAAAAGCACCAGCAGAAAGAAGAAATGCCATAAAATGCTAACCAAAGAACTAAACACTTACAAATTAAGATCACCAGTGGCAGAAATATAAAGTGCAAAACACACACACACACACACACACACACACACACACACACACACACACACAAAGCTGCCGGCTACTTTTATTCTACACAAACAGATGCAGCCATGAAAGGCAGTGGCACTCACTTCTAGTCTAGCACACACTTCCACATCTCTCTGGGATGTCTGTATAGAAACTGCATAATTAGCTCTTTAAAAGTTACAGGACTGGTGGCCAATCTTCCCATGAGTTCATGTACTTTCACTACAATTTTCTGAAGTAAAGATCATGTGTCTGTGAGATGCTGAGCTTACCCATCCAATGGCTTCAAACATCTTCAAGTCCAGGGGGTCACCAGAAAGCACTCCTTCAATCTTTGTAAGGGAATGACAAGTAGCCATGCATGCGACAAACTGAGATTTCACCAACATCTCGTTACAAACATTTTCTTCTGGCAAAAGAAATCTAAACAGAAATATACTGTTAGGTTCATAAATCCCCAGCTGGCCTTTTTATACTTTGTGGTTAAAAAAAAAACAAAAAACAAATTCAAAAGTGAGCTCATGAGTAAGGATAATTTCCATGTACAAAACAAAAGTAGAGGAAAACAAATCCAAAGGAGTAGTATGAGCTGCACTGATGCTGTAGCTGCAGGGGGAGGAGGGGTGGTGGCCACCAGGATGCCACACAGCAGGAGACAGTGGCACCAGTGAAATACAGAGCTCACTCTGACTGAACCCCTCACATTCAAAGATGCCAATGCTGCTGAAGAGCTCTGCACCATGGGAAAGCCCACTAGTTTACCCAATGCCAAAGCACAACTAAACTTATGCCCGTCTCTTGTACACCCAAAGTTCAAGGTAAGAGCTAATATTACACTGTCATAATGTCAGTATTTTGGAAGCTAAGCCTGGGTAACTTGGTGAGACTGTGTCTTAAAGAAGCAGCTAGATGGGCTGGGGAGATAGCTCGGCAGTCTAAGCACCTGCTTGCCAAGTGCAAGGACACGGTTTTGACCCTGGTACCAAATGTCATACCAGCCCCCACTGTGCTGGCCACCAAAACCTGGGCTTGGTGGCATACCCCTGTAATCCCAGTGCTGGGGAGGCTTAGACAGGAGGGTCACTGCAAGTCTGAGCTGTGTTGCAAGATACTGTGCCAAATAAATAAGTAATTTTCATGGAGCAGGGGAGATGACTCAGTGGAATAAACACTTTCCTGGCAAGTGCAAGGGCCTGAGTTCAATCCCCTGTTCCACCATTAAAAAAAAAAAAAAAATCATACATTTTTTTAAAAAGGGAGCGTCTACAAGCAGGTATAGGGGCTAGGGTTCAATCCCCAGGCCTGCTGTGCCGGCCCTGTACTTTGGGGCACCCTAAGACAGCAATTGAGACTGGGCGTGGTAGCACGTGCCTATAATCCCAGCTCTTGGGAGGCTGTAAACAGGCAGATCACTATGAATCCAATCTAGTAGTAAGACCCTGAACACCCTGTAGACCCTCCCTTAAAATACAATAAATAAATAAATAAATAGGCCAGCCAGATAGCTCATCAGATTAAAACGCCTGCTTAAGCAGAAGCAGGGGTTGGAGGTTCGATATCCCCCCCCCCCCCACCCCCCAGGGCACACTGAGATGGCCACTGAGACTGGGCGTGGTGGCGCACCCAGTAATCCCAGCACTTGGGAAGCTGAAAACAGGTGGATAAGTAAAGTCTGATCTGTGTAGTGAGATCTTGTAGTAAATTAAAAAAAAAAAAAAAAAAAAAAAGTAGTAGTAGTAGTAGTAACTAGAGTTATATCTGAATACCAAGGCCCTGGGTTTGATTCCCAGTACCACAGAGAGGAAAGGGCACCAATATCTATGTAGTATGTCCTGTGCACCAGGCACTGTTCTAAGAACTCTACCTACAGAGACTCATTTCCTCCTCACATCACAGGAAGGATTTACTCATCCCTGCTACAGACATGGGAACTAACGCAGAATGATACACTAATTTGTCCAGGGTTCCACCACCTGTCAATAGCCAAACAAGGACTGAAACATAAGGCCAACTCTGAGCCACCACATTCTACAGCACATGTGGGAGTTGAAATACACAGTGCTGCCTGGCTTCCAAATCCCCAAACTGTCAGAACAACAGTGCTGCTGGTCTGGTAGCACATATATCACAGAGTCCTCTGGGAAGTGAAGAAGACCCCATAACACAGCCACGAGAGAGGCTCACTGAAAACCCAGCTCAGGACAGCTATGGTTTAAAGCTGTTATGTCAAGAGACGTAACAAAGAACTGCAATGTCACAAGTCTGAGATTATAAATGGCAACTGAAAGAATGCCACAGTGGTTTTTTTTTTTAGAAAAAGTACAACATAGGGGCAGGGGAGTTAGCTCAGTAGAATAGGTGCTTCCCTGGCAAGCGCAAGGGCCTGAGTTCAATCCCCGGTTCCGCAAAAAAGAAAAGAAAAAGTACAACACTGCAAGGGAAGATGGGGGCAGACTTAGAAAGAACCAAGGGAAACTTTATCCAGCATGTGGTTAGGATGCATAGATGGAAAAGAAAACAGAGAATGAGGAGCTATAAGGGAAGAGTGGAAGCTGGAAGTGCTCCAGAATTGAAGAAAAATGTAAACCCATGGGGATTTAGAAGCAGAATGAGTCCTGTAAGTAATAAAGGAGCATGGCGAGACTGCAGAAATCAAGGACAAAGGGGCAAGACAGAAAGCAGATCACTAGAGATTGGGACTTCCTAGCAGTAACAAAAGGTGTCAGGAGAAATGAGTGAGTGAGGAAACACATTTGTAAGCCATCACAGTGAAAGTGGGCATGGTGGTACACATCTGTAGTCCCAGCACTTTGGGAGGCAAAGGCAGGAAGATCCCATTGAAGCCTATCCCAGGCAACATTGTACTGATTATTCAGTACAAGATCTGAGCAAGATCTTGTCTCAAAATAAAATTATTAGGGGCCAAGGAGATGGCTCAGTTGAACAAACGCTTCCCTGGCAAGCGCAAGGGCCTGAGTTCAAGCCCTGGCTCCACAAAAAAAAATAAAAATAAAAATAAAATTATTAAAACTAAAAAGGCATGGGGTTAAAGCTCAGTACAAAGGCCCTGGATTAAATCTCCAGTACCACAAAAACGAAGGGAGTGGAGTAGAGGCACCAGACCTAATGAACATAGTAGTTACAAAAGAATGTAATCCACAGGAATGGGATACTAAAAACTATGATAAAGGTGTTTACAAACCTAGTAAAATCCAAGCACCAAGAATGTGTAAAACCAAAATCATAATCTTAAACCATTATAGAACAAATAAGCATAACAGAGGAGAATAATCAGTACAATGTACCTATAGCCTGGGTTTTTGGGGATTCAGGAGGCAGTACAGACATCTAAAAGCTAAGCCCCTAATCATGAATATTAATTTAAGAACAGGTAGTCAGAGATTAGGGTATATAAATTCTGAGAAAATGAAGGAAAGAATTTAAACAGTTTAGGACAACATATATTAAAGACAGAACTCTGCAATTACACAACCAAAGAACAGTCACTCAATCACGAAAGACAAAAATGTGGCAGCTTTTGGAGGAGAAAAAAATGACAAACACAACTACAGAAGTACAACTTCTGAGCATCAAAGACAATAAAAAGTTTTTAAAAAGCCTGGAATTGGCAGAATAAATCTGTAATACATGGTATCGAAAGAGGTTACCCCCCAAAAAACAAAGAACTTCTAGCAAATGAAGATGGTAGATAAAGAGGAACCACATAAAAGAGAATAAACAGCACAGAGAATACTAAGTGATGCTGCTCAAAACCATGAAGATATTCAACTTTGTAAGGAATGAAGAGAATACAAATAAAGATACAGCTGGGGAGATAGCTCAGGAGCATAAAAACCTGCCTGGCAGGCAAAGGTCCTGATTGATCGCTGATAAAAAAAAAAGATACAGTGAAATAGCCATTTCATATTCATACGTTTGGCAAAAAGTTACATGCCTGACAATATTTAGCTTGCACTGATGTGAAGCAAGAGGATCTTTGCTCTGGAGGAAAGGACAAACAGGCCCGGCCCATATAGTTAGGCAAGGGCTGGAGGCAAAGTGGAAGCTGAGCAGTGCACACTGAGAGGCTGGCGCGCTCAGGCCCAGCCACACACTCACAGCTGGCTGTGAGGGGTGTAGTCAAGGCACTATTTGTGAAAGCACAGGGGAAAAAAGGAAAATATCCCTAGTAGAAAAAATAACTCTGGCTTCATTACATAATGAAATAATGAGCAGATAAAATCAGGCTGGGGATTTAGCTCAGGGGCACAGTATCTGCCTGGCAAGCATGAGGTCATGAGTTTGACTTCCGGTACCAAGAAAAAAGAAAGAAAATCAGTAAGTTTGATCCCTACTCATCAACATGAATGTATCTTGAAAGCAATTCAGAACAGAGAAAAGTAGCAAAACCATGTCATTTATGTGTATTTACAGACTGTGTTTTGAAAATAAAAAATGTACACAAAAATAAAAATAAATTTGAAGAATCAAGAAAGAGAATGGCACTTTTTAAGTATTTTAATCTCTTAAAAGAGGAAATCTGAAGTAAACATGGCAAAACAACTGCTTAGGTTTGGTGGCAGGTATACAACTGTTAATGGTACCTTTTGTGTTTGAATATTGCATGTGCTAAAATATTAAAAATCATCTAATCATGCGCTGAACGTAGGCAATACTTACCGCATATTTTGCACTCGTTGAATCCCCCAAAGATCTAAACCATCTTCAGTAAGAGTTCCAGTCTAAAATAAATAAATACCAACTAAGAATATGTCAAAGAAGAAAAACTCCACATGCACTATTAGTGAAAACTGCTACATATACACAATGAGGTATTACAGTCTGAAAAGAAAAAAAAGGCAACAAATCCGTACACTGAGGGAAAAGGACTTGGACAATATACAAAGTTTAACTGAAAAATACAGTGAAAGTTTAAATTTTAAAAATGTACTGCATTAAAACAGTGCCATGAAAGTTCATTATATTGTTATTTTTTTTCAACTTTTGTGTCTGTTTAAATGCTTAAGAAAATCAGGGGTTCAATGGCCAGCCTACCATGTCAGCCCCACTCCCAGGGCATGCTGAGACGGCAACTGAGACTGGGCATGGTGGCGTGCCCAGTAATTCCTGCATTTACATTAGGGAGGCTAAGAACAGAAGGATCACTACAAGTACAATCTGTGTAGTGAGACCCTGTAGAGCCTGAACTAAATACACTGGCAAGTAAGCAAGCAAGGAAAGAAGGAAGGTAGTTAGTTCATTCTAGGGAACCAGGCACAGTGTTGCCTATCTGTAATCCCAGCACTGAGGGAGGCAGAGGCAAGAGGATCACAAGTTCTAGCCCAGCTTGGGCAACTTAGCAAGTCTCTGTCTCAAAAACCACAAAAAGAGCTAGGGATGTAGCTGAGTGGTGGAGTGCTCGAGTTCACTCTCCCCTTACCACAAAACAAGAATAAAGATTCTAGAGACTGTGGTTCAATAGTATAACACATGTTTACCATATATGCAAGGCTCTGGGTCAATTCCCAGCACTCAAAAAAGAAAAACAAGTTTCAAAAAAGATAAACACAAATATATTTTTTAAGTAGATGAAACAGTGATGTGAATTTTTTTTTCAAGCTATACTTTTCTCATGTTTTATTTAATAAATAAATGCTTGAAAATCAAATTCTTCTGTGTCACCTAGAAGAGGTAAAGAACAGCTTCAATAATATGAAACCAGGGGCTGGTGAGATGGCTCGGTGGTCTAAGGCACCTACTTAGAACAAGCTTAGCAAAGCACAGGGACCACGGTACAATCCCCCAGCACCACATGCCAGCCAGCCCCGCCCCCTGGTGGGCTGAGCTGGCCACACACACACAAAAAAAACTTTTTTAAAAGATTTAATTAAAAAAAAAAAAAAAAGTAGGGCTGAGGAGACAGCTCAGTATAATAAGTGCTTGCCTGGCAAGCTCAGGGTCCTGAGTTCAAACCCCAGTACCACCAAAAAAAAAAAAAAAAAAATCTCCATAGAGAGCCAATTCTATTAAACTAGGAGTTATCTAAAAACAGGAAAAAAAATATGTAAGTTTTATCGTTATTACTACAAGAAATAATTCTGGATGCAAGCAGTCAACTACAGACTTATGGCATGTAACCAATACCCAAAAAATTAAAGAAACAGAAAACATGAAATATTTTTTAAATAATAGATAAGCTAAATAAAGTGAGGAAAAGAAAATCAGAGGAACATTAAAGAACAATGGCAAGTCAGTTACGAAAGAAAATGGAAAACAACACTTAAAAGCTACCGAGCAAATAACCTTTGAGAATGATTACGAAACTGAACCAACCTTGTCGAAACAAACAAGATTTAGCTGCCCACATATATTTATCCTTTGGGGACTGATACAGAAAATGCCAACTGTTTTCAGTCTCCTCTGAGCATACACAATCCCAGCAGTCATTGCAGCAGGAAGTGCAGGGGGCACAGTAATTGTAATGATGTCAAGAGACTCAAAAATTATTGTCCCAACCTCTACCTGCAATTGACACAAAAATAAATGTCAAGCCCCTATTACTAAATATTTACTAACTTAAATCCAGATTTGGTGGCCCACGCCTATAATCCCAGCACTTTAAAGGCCAAGGTAGGAGGATCATTGTGAGTTCAAGGCCAGACTAGGTTATGGAGTAAGTTCAAAGCCACTTTACACTACACAAGACCCTATTTCACAAAGCCAAAAATAAATGAATAAATGAAGACACACTAATTTAGCACGGGTATTTCTTTAGCAAAAATTTATAAACACTAAATCTCATACATAACCACACACACACAAGCATGTATACATATATGAATATATAATACATACACCATCTAGTAGTGGTTTATATTTTTTTTTTCCTTCAGAGATTCTACAAAATAGCTGAATGAATTGTTAAATGGATTATAGAATGACAGGAAACTTCTGCCAAGAAGGCAAACACCTCTCATTCTTCACATATGCCATGCTTTAATCCAAGTGCAACAAACTTTTTCAGATACTGATATATCCTACAAATACCATACTGCACTAGTCTGCACAGGAAACAGAAAAGAGAAATTTGCTGGGTACAATGATGTTTATAATCTTAGCTACTCAGGGGGCTGAGGCCAAAAGATCTCAAGTTCAAGGCCAGCCTGAGCAACTTTATGAGACTATCTCAAAATAAAATAGAAAAGAGGTGGTGACATAGTTGGGTGGTAGAGCACTTACCTAGTATGCATGAGACACTGGACTCAATCCCCAGTGTCACAAAAAGAGGGAGGAAGGGAAGGAAAAGGTAACTGACAGTGTTAGTGGCCCTTCATGAACTGTTAAAAAATAATTTATTGCTGTATATTCTATCCCAAAGGTAAAAATACATAAAGCTTTTGGTATGCACATGTTTTTTCCTCTTCCCTTAAAAGTCTCAAAAAGTAGAAGATGATCTGAATAGAACAATCCAAAACACCACATGGTAAGATGAGATGTTCTATGTGTTTTCTAATTTAATAGCTACTAGTTTCACATGGCATCCTGGGAGCAATCAGAGTTAGCCCAAAAACAAAGTTCCTCAGTTTCACTCACCACATTTCAAAATTCTCAACAGCCACACATGATAATTAAGCCTTGAACCCTATTAAGGTCCCATATACGCACCTCATTTAAAATGTTATTAATAATTGTGTAGATGAACCCAATGCCAGCCACGCCCACGAGACAAAGCAGAAACAAGTAGGCATCTCGGTAGAGCTTAAAATCAGTTGGTTTGGGATACAGTATGGAACGGACAAGCTGTCCTTTGGAAGTACTAAATCCTTTCAAAAATTAAAGAGAAAAATTACTTACATTTTTACAAGAAAATGAGAATTATCTGTCAAAACACTTATTGTTTAAAGCAAAATAAAAGGCAGATGACAGGAAGCAGGGAAACAGACTCAAGATGGGCAGGGAACGGGGTGGAGCAGACAAGAGGGGTGGAATGGACAATGATAAGGACTGTGACGTGATGCGCATGCCTGTGCTGACCGTGCTCATCGTGCGGTATTCCCTACCTGTTCTGACCACAATGGCTTTCACAAGTTCTCCGGTGTAGAAGCGAGTCTGGATTACAGTTGTTCCACAGAACAGAGTATGTCGCTTATGTGTTTCTGGACTATAGTATTCCTCTCCTGTGCCTTTCATATTTACTGAAGGATTTGGCAAATTAGTCTTTGTCACTGGAACACTTTCTCCTATTTAAAAAAAAAATCGTTAACATATTTACGATTAGGGTGGCACAGAAATCAGTATCAAATGAAAACATCCTGAATTAGGAATATCTAAATGTTACAGTGCTATTTACCATCGTTAATAAGAGTTCTACATAAACAGCCAAGCATGGTTGTGCACACTGGTAATCCCACAGCATGACCCTGTCTCAAAAATCAAATAAACAACAAAGAGTTCTACAAGTACACAATGTAGTAAACCAATTTCCCTTTTTAACCTACTAATTGGTTCACACAAAAATGCCCCATTTTTGCCCCCACAATAATTACTGGAAGTGATTTGTGACTCCAAGGTAACACCTGTCCCCAGGCATCGCAATGCACACCGGTAATCCCAACTATCCAGAACCCTGAAGGAGGAAGTGTGCAAGGTCCAGGGCAGCCTGGGAAATTTGAACTCCATCTCAAAATTGGGGGGGGGGGG